ATACCATCTAAACCAGGAGCTTTGCCAGGATCAAGGCTGAATAAAGTTACTTTAATTTCTGCTTCTGTTTCTGGGGCAATAAGGACTTCATTTTGCTCTGAAGATATGGAAGATGGAATTAAATGTAAGATGGTTGTTCCCCCCCCTTGAGCCTTCTGCTTATAGAAGGAACATATAGGCTGCTGTATGTCCTTCTTGTTGTCCAGAACTTGATTGTTCTCATTCACCAGCCTTGTAATTGCATTGATTCTCCTCCTCTGTAGAGTTAAAGCATGGAAGAACTTGGTGTTTGAATCTCCTTCTTTGATCCATTGAGATCTGTATTTTTGAGCCCAATATTCTTATTCCTCATTTGTAACTTTCTCTAACTCTTTCCTTAATCTCCCCCATTCTGCCCAGTCTCTATCTTCTCTCATCTTACTCATATCTTCTAATTTCTCATTAATATATGCATTGGTTTTCAACTGATCCCTTCTGAAAGATGAACTCCATTTCAATAGTGCAAGTCTAGTGGATTTGATTTTCTCAGATACTTGATACATAGGAGTACCATTCATTTCTGCCTGTCAGCCCTCTTGCACAAATTCCTTGATTCCATTTCTTTTAAGCCATCTCTTGTTAAAGAAAAACGTTTTAGTTTTATGCTCCTGTCTAGCTGGGTTGTCATTCAGATCTAACAATCTGTGATCCGAGGAGCTCCTGAAAATATTTTGAACCTCTGCATTCTGATGATCTGCAAGCCAATCAAAGGAGACAAAAATTTTTGTTTATCTTCTCTTTAATGAAACCTTTCTCACTCTTGTGGTTCTCCCAAGTGAAGTTATGACCTGTAAGTTGCAGATCTAGCATCCCCATTCTGGCTACGAAATTGTTGAAACCATTAAATTCCCCTGCTGCTTTCAACCTTCCACCTCTTTTTTCACTCGGTGCACATGTCTCATTCCAGTCTCCTCCCTAGATTCACTTACTGCCCGAAAAACTCTTAGCAATCTCCAAAAAATCCCACTATCTCATCATTTCATTTGTCTGTACTAGCATATACAAACACAATCCAGATTGGAACATCCTCTATGGCATATACAAACACAATCCAGATTAGAACATCCTCTCTTATTCCTTCAACTTCTAATTGAATACAGAAATGGTTGCTAAGGATTTGCTTCACCACCACCTCTGCACTCCACAAAACCATTAACAGTCGAAATTTTAACACTGGCCATGTGAATTAAAACAGGGACTCCGTTGGGGAGTTATATTAAAATTCACATCTAAGTGATGACCACAATTTAACCCCAAGAACAATCATCCACAATTGACGAACTACTGATGGGGAAGACAAATAATTTTTTATGGTTATCTCGAAATAATCTTTACCGGTGAGCTTATGAATGACATTATCCGTTAGAGAGGAGACCCCATGGGTCATGCGTATGCCACTCAATTCACCTAAAGGTTAAGTCGTTTGAATAGAAGTCTTATCTAGTAAGCTCGTGAATGCCGCATCTGTTAGGGGGAGACTCTCAGGGTCCCGCGAGCGACAAACACCTTACTTAAAGACCAATTGTGGAGGCCAAATGAATTAATTAAAATTCATATTAAATTCACTTAGTCATTTTTACTTGAAGGTTTTTAACAGCATGCAATAAGAAATAATAAAATCCCTATCATGCTCCTAACATGCAAATCACATAAATCCTAGCATGCTCCTAAAATTCAAAAAAAAAGCAATAACAGCTTTCTAATAATTTATAGCACCTATTCACATGATTTCTAGCATGCCAAAAATTCGATTTAAATCAGCTAGACACATAATCAAATAAACATGCTCTAGCAAAATTAAATCGGCATCCACAAAGCGATAAAAAAAATGCAAAAATTAAAACACATCTATCGCAGCCCCTTAAAACCAACCACTAACAGCCTATCAAAGTTATTACATGATTCGGCAAGGTCGTGGATGAACACAATCGGGCCGTTCACGCAATGTCCGCACCCACCGACGGAAAAGGGCCGAAAACTTCATCTAGACGATAGAATTTGACCCCGCCACAGGCTATCTAAGCAAAGCAGCGACATGTGTAGATCTCGCTCTCCCGTTTCTGAAATGGTATTATGGGCTAAAATCGGACACCTGTAGCAAAAGTTATGGCCAAAACAGTTTTCGCCGACGAAAATGCCCCCAGTGAATACTGAAACCCTAGCCGCCGCCTCCAGGTTGATCATCTTCATCACGTTCGACTTTGAACACAAATTACAGCAAAAACCGAACAAGAACAGCCCTACTACAGTCTACAAAATCGCCTATACTACCCACACTTATTATCTGATGGGAAAAACGATTACAATAATACACAAGGGCTGCGATAGACACCATCCAGAAGCATAAATGAAATAAATTCATCCACACCATAAACATGAGTGAAAACGAATACACAAATCAACTACATGTTTCAGGCAGAGTCGGTAATCTATTAAACCGAGGCTCTGATACCAATTGCTAGAACACGCCGATGAGGCGGTCCTTCCCACGGATCGATATTGGATACCAAACACGTACATACATGATTTCAAATAACCCTAGGCATGCTCCTAAAGGACGAACAGAGAATTACCTTGACAAGGAGGTTTGATTCGATCTGAGCGACCTTTTAGTATGTGTCCCGACCACGCTTGGACGTCGGATGGACGACGATCCTCCAAACGGTTGAAAGAAGCAGACTGCCCTTGTCTTTATCGAACCCTTCTCGTTACTCTCTCCACGATGGTGGCTGGAGTGTCTCATGAAATTGCTAGGGTTTAGAACGTGGGAGGTCCCCTCCTTTTATAGAGGTCCTTGGGCCAGACTAGGGATCTCTAGAAGGTATAGCGTTTGGGCTCCTTACATGCCCAAATTCTTATGTTCAGCCCAGAACACAATTTGGCCCGTAAATATTAATTCATTCCAATAGAGAATTAATATTGCACTCTCGTCCTATCCCGAAATGAATCAGGGCTACTATTAGACTCGATACAATTCCCCGTGTTTAAGATATCGCACGTCTATTAATTATTAAAGCTTCTGACTGCTTTAATTAATTAATATCTTTTATTCCTTAAGTAGTACCACTCAACCTTATTATCGTACGGATTAAATCCACCTGCAGGGTTTATACGATAATCCTTATGAGTTCCTTAAGGGGATGTCATCAACCTGGATGTCCAGGACACGGTGTCCTAATGCCAATAAATAGATATCATGCAGATAATGTTGTTACCCAAGATACAGAGCATATTGAACCAATACTTGGTTCTCACCCATAGTAAATCAAAGTAACAAACAAATATTCCACATATCTAAGTATCACAGTTAGGGTTAAGAATTAGTAGAGTCACCGAGACCTAGGTTCTTCATGATAGTCAGAATAGAAGAACACGTCTCAACTTTGATCCATTCCATGCGACGCAGCGCACTAGTATAAACCAACAGCCAAGACAAGCTATATCCAGTTCATACTACAACCTAAACCGATAGTCATGTCCATAACTATCTCAGTTGTGAATACCATTTATATCTTATAAGGGATTGACAATGTAATCTTCTATGTGACTATTAACACACCACATTGTCTACAATATAAGATAATTGGACATTTAGCATACAAGCAATCATAAAGAATGCAACAATGTGAAAACATTTATTTCAGTCAAATGGAAAATCGAATAAATTCAATCCAAAAGCTCATATAAAAGTTTGCTTTACTGTATACCCCAACAGGTCTCTCCTCAGGTCTGAGTCAGTTGGTCTCTCCTCGGTCGCCTACTGTCTTCAATTGGAGGTGAGTTCCTCTCCCCCTGCTTCTACCTGGTATATCGGAGGTCTTCCGAGTCGGCTTCGCTATTCACAGCGAGGCTTCCAGTGGTTTGGGCTACGGTCGTCGGCGGTTTGCAGTGGAGTTGGGAGGCGCGTTGGTCGTGGGTCATGGCGGGACTCTGATAGCTGTGGTTGTTCCAGTTGCGGTGGACGGGGTTGGGGGACCGAGCCATCCTCACCCTCCCCCTTTCGGCTAGTGGTGTTAAGCGGTGAGGGTCCTGGTTCACTCGAGCTCGTCTAGTGGTGTTAGACGGGTTTGGGTCAGGTTGGTGTGGGGACGGTTTATCTTCCTCTCGGTTGGTGATGAGTCGATTCGAGGTTTGGTTCGGGTCTCGATGTTGGCTACTATATAGGCTTTTAGGAAGTTTTGGTAGTGATACTTCGGGCTTGGTATCTATTTGTGTCGATTGTTCACTGTTGGCTGGGTCTGTTCGATTGTTGAGGAAGGGCTTTTTGTGTTTATTTATTTTTTAGTTGTTTCGTGTTTGTGTTGTCTTAGTTAGTGCTTTTGGATTAGGCCATTTGGTCTCAGTGCTCCCGAGTGTCAACTTATTATCCTATTGGGATTTGACACTCGGCTATTATCCCGATGGGATCTTTTTAGTTGTCTTAGTTGTTATTTGTGTTTGTTGTTTTTGTGTAGTCGCGAGTTTGTCATTCTAGCATTGCTAGTCGGTTCTAGATGATCTTCGGATCTGCCTCCCAGTTTTATATCCTCTGGTTGTACTATTAAGCTTTTGGCTACTTTTTTTTGCACTTTGTACGCTTTGATTAATATAATTCCTCTATCGTTTCGAAAAAAAAGTAGGTGGTTTGTAGTTGAGCCTCAGGGGTTAAGTGGGGGCTTGATTTCATTCGCCATAAAGACAGGTTGGCTTGCAATTGAGATTAATGACTGGGTGTCTGCTTAATTGAAATATGTGTAAACGTCCACCTAACGTGGCTTGCATGTGTGTTCGTTAAGTTGTCAAAGGTTGCATTAAATAATGGTTTTTTGAAGGTTTCCATATTTTATGCTTCAAAGTTATGTGAATTATTGCTTACGTGTTTGCAATTATTTATTTCAGTTATTCATCATGTCATTCAATCCGCTTATGGTCATTCTCAATCAAAACAAGCTTACTGGTCCAAATTATTTGGACTGGAAGAGAAATCTGGATATTGTCCTTGTTGCTGATGAGTACAAGTTTGTGCTCACCACTCCTGCTCCTGCTCCTTTGAGCGCCCAATCCACTGAAGATGAAAGGGAGGCTCATCGGAAGTGGCATAAGGCTGATGAGATGGCTCGTTGCTACATCTTGGCATCTATGTCAAATGTTTTGCAACAGCAGCATCACACCATGCCTACTGCTGCTGACATGATGTTGAGCCTCAAGGAACTCTTTGGTGAGCAAGATAGGGCTGCTCGGTTTGAGGCTATGAGGAAGATTATGTCTTCTGTCATGCCAGAGGTAGCTTCGGTGCGAGAGCATGTTCTCAAGATGATGGAATATCTGAATGAGATAGATGTGCTCGGAGGAATTATCGATCTTGGCGAAGCCAAGATCGATATCATCCTGCACTCGCTCCCGAAGTCCTATGACAACTTCCGCATGAATGCAATCATGAATAAGAAGGGCTATACTCTAGCCGAGCTTCTTACGGACTTGGTTGCAGCAGAGGGTCTTATGGGAAGGGGAGCACAGGCTCATGTTTCTGTAAAAGTTGGACCTTCTTCGTCGAAAGGCGGGAAGAAGAAAAAGCAAGTGCAGAAAAAGAGTGGTGGAACCCGTAGGAGCAGTGGGAGTGGTGGGAGCAAAGCGGTAGCGCCTTCTGGTGGCGTGGTGAAGCCAAAAGGCAAGTGCTTCAAGTGCAACAAGAGAGTACATTGGAAGTCAGATTGTCCCCTCAAGGACGCTCCTGGTACGTCTCTTGTTTTAGTTGTCGAAACATGCTTTTCGGCTTGTTCTACCTGTTCTTGGGTAGTAGATACATGAGCCACTGATCATGTTTGTTATACTTTGTAGGGGTTTCTGCAAAGAAGGCAGCTCAGTGAGGGCGAGATTACCATCAGCTTGGGCAACGCTGCACGAGTGGCGGTGGTTGCAGTGGGAGATGTGCACCTATCTTTTTCTGATTCTGTTTTAGTATTAAAGAACGTTTTGTACGTGCCGAGTTTTCTTAAGAATTTAATTTCGGTTTCGAAGCGGTTTTTGGATGGATATTCAGTTATTTTTAATGACAATGCTGTTATTATGAGAAATAACTCTTTTATCTGTTCTGGCATGTTGGTTAACAATCTTTATACTATTACTTGTGCATATCATACTGTGACTGAGGCTCATGCATCTTCATCACTAAACAAGAGAAAGGAACTTTCTCAGTCGAATCAGACATATCTTTGGCACCTAAGGTTGGGTCATGTCAATCTAAGGAGGATCCAAAGGCTGGTAGGTAATGGCTTCTTGGACTCTCTCCAAGTTGAACCATTTCCAGTATGCGAATCCTGTTTGGAAGGCAAGATGACTTCTAGGCCTTTTAAGGCCAAGGGGAATAGGTCCAATGATGTGTTAGAATTGATTCACTCTGATTTGTGTGGGCCTATGTCTATTCAAGCTAGAGGTGGTTTTGAGTATTTCGTTACTTTTATTGACGATTACTCAAGATATGGGTACATTTACTTGATGCGCCTCAAGGCTGAATGCTTTGACAAGTTCAGAGAATTCAAGACAGAAGCGGAGAACCGTCAAGGGAAAAGTATCAAGTCACTGCGATCTGATCGTGGTGGCGAATACCTCAGCAATGAATTTAGGCAATACTTATTAGAGAATGGGATTACATCCCAGATGACTGCACCTGGTACTCCCCAACAGAATGGCGTAGCAGAGAGAAGGAACATGACTCTGTTGGACATGGTGAGATCGATGATGAGCTATGCTTCATTACCTACCTCGTTTTGGGGATATGCCTTGGAAACGGCGGCGTACCTTCTTAACTTTGTACCTTCTAAATCAATTCTGAAAACTCCAATAGAATTGTGGTCCGGGCGCAAGCCCAGTTTAAACCACATTCAGATTTGGGGCTGCCCAATACATGTGTTGGACAAGGAAGCTGATAAGTTGGCACCTAGAACAGAAGTACAACTGTTTGTAGGTTACCCAAAGGGAACGAGAGGTGGTTACTTTTATAGTCCTAAAGATCAGAGGGCAGTGGTTAGCACCAATGCCCGATCTTTAGAGGAAGACTATATGAGTGAGCATAAGTCCAAGAGTGAGATTATTCTAAATGAGTTGAGGGAAGACAATAGCATACTGAGTGTGCAAGAGGATATACCACAAGAGACTGCACAACGTGTTGACTCTGATGTATTTACACCTGAATTGCCTCGTCGTAGTGGGAGGGTTTTTCATCAGCCCGATCGTTTCATGTTTGTGGGAGAGTCCTCGGACTTCATCCCATGTGAAGAGCATGATAGTGACCCCTGGACCTACAATGAGGCAATCCAAGATGTAGATGCAGATTCTTGGCAGAAATCTATGGATTCTGAGATTGAATCTATAGATGCTATGGATGTATACGACCTTAGGGACCTTCTTGAAGGAAAGAAAGCCATTGGGTGCAAATGGGTCTATAGGCGTAAGAGAGGATCTGACGGGAAGGTTATTTCCTTCAAAGCACGGTTGGTTGCAATGGGTTTCACTCAGAAAGAGCGAATCGATTATGATGAGACCTTTTCACCGGTAGCCATGCTTAAGTCGATCCGGATTCTCTTATCCATAGCAAGTCACATGGACTATGAGGTTTGGCAAATGGATTTCAAGATAGCTTTCCTTAACGAAAACTTGGATGAAGACATCTATATGCAACAACTCGAGGGTTATGTGAAGAAAGGTCAAGAGCATCGAGTATGAAAGCTAAAGAAGTCTCTTTATGGACTAAAACAAGCTTCTAGGTCTTGGAACATTCGCTTTGACGAGGTGATCAAGTCCTATGGATTTGATCAATGTCAAGACGAAAGTTGTGTGTACAAAAAGAGCAACGGAAACGTAGTGGTATTCTTAGTACAATACGTAGATGATATTCTTCTCATCGGCAACGATGTCAAGATTTTGTCAGACGTAAAGGTATGACTTTCAGAACAGTTTCAAATGAAGGACTTGGGTGAGGCATCGTACATTCTTGGAATCAAGGTCATTCGTGATAGGAAGAAGAGAATGTTGTGTCTATCTCAAGCTGCTTACATTGATACTGTTATTGCTCGTTTCAGCATGTAGAACTCCAAGAAAGGGTTGCGACCTTTTCGGCATGGAGTTCCTCTATCTAAGGATATGTGTCCGAAGACACAAAAGGAGATAGAGAAAATGGCTAAGGTTCCTTATGCTCCGGCTGTAGGAAGCCTTATGTGTGTCATGCTGTGTACGAGGCCTGATATTTGCTATGCAGTTGGCATGGTAGCGAGATATCAGTCTAACCCTGGTCAAGGAAACTGGACCGCGGTGAAGCATATTCTCAAGTATTTGAAAAGAACTCGGGATTATATGCTTGTTTACCAGTCAGATGGTCTAACTCCTTTGGGTTACATAGATTCTGATTTCCAAGCTGATTGAGATAAGAGAAAGTCGACCTGGGGTTATGTGTTTATGATGGGAGGCGGAGCGATCTCATGAAGGAGTGTGAAGCAGAAATGCATCGCAGATTCTACCATGGAAGCCGAATACGTTGCTGCTTCAGAAGCAACAAAGGAGGCTGTTTGGCTCAGGATCTTCTTACTGGACTTAGGGGTATCTTCGAGTGTGCCTAAGTGTATCACAATTTATTGTGACAACGCTGGTGCAGTCGCAAACTCGAGAGAACCCCGAGCACATAAGGTCAGTAAACACATCGAGAGAAAGTACCACCTTATACGAGAGATCGTAAAACGAGGAGATGTAGTTGTGACGAAGATAGCATCGTTGGATAACCTAGTTGATCCTTTCACGAAGACTCTGACTGTCAATGTCTTCGAGAAACACGTGGAGGGTCTTGGTTTACGATGTATAGCAGCTAGACTTTGAGTATAAGTGGGAGAATTGTTATGACATGTGTTTATGTACTAAAAGTTTAGCTTTAGTATAAGTGGGAGATTGTTGGGGTATACAATAAAGAAAACTTTTATGTGAGCTTTTGGATTGTATTTATTCGATTTCCCATTTGACTGAATAAATGTTTTTACATTGTTGCATTCTTTATGATTGCTTGTATGCTAAATGTCCAATTATCTTATATTGTAGACAATGTGGTGTGTTAGTAGTCACACAGAAGATTACATTTTCGGTCCCTTATAAGATATAAATGGTATTCACAACTGAGATAGTTATGGACACGACTATCGGTTTAGGTTGTAGTATGAACTGGATATAGCTTGTCTTGGCTGTTGGTTTATACTAGTGCGCTGCGTCGCATTGAATGGATCACAGTTGAGATGTGTTCTTCTATTCTGACTACCATGAAGAACCTAGGTCTCGGTGACTCTACTAATTCTTAACCTAACTGTGATACTTAGATATGTGGGATATTTGTTTGTTACTTTGATTTACTATGGGTGAGAACCAAGTATTGGTTCAATATGCTCTGTATCTTGGGTAACAACATTATCTGCATGATATCTATTTATTGGCATTAGGGCATCGTGTCCTGGACATCCAGGTTGATGACGTCCCCTTAAGGAACTCATAAGGATTATCGTATAAACCCTGCAGGTGGATTCAATCCGTACGATAATAAGGTTGAGTGGTACTACTTAAGGAATAAAAGATATTAATTAATTAAATCAGTCAAAAGCTTTAATAATTAATGGACGTGCGATATCTTAAACACGGGGAATTATATCGAGTCTAATAGTAGCCCTGATTCATTTTGGGATAGGACGTGAGTGCAATATTAATTTTCGAGTGGAATGAATTAATATTTACGGGCCAAATTGTGTTCTGGGCTGAGCATAAGAATTTGGGCCTGTAAGGAGCCCAAACCCTATACCTTCTAAGAGATCCCTAGTCTGGCCCAAGGACCTCTATAAAAGGAGGGGACCTCCCACGTTCTAAACCCTAGCAATTTCGTGAGACACTCCAGCCACCATCGTGGAGAGAGTAACGAGAAGGGTTCAAGAAAGACGAGGGCAGTACGCTTCTTTCAACCGTTTGGAGGATCGTCGTCCATCCAGCGTCCAAGCATGGTCGGGACACATACTAAAAGGTCACTCAGATCAAATCAAACCTCCTTTTCAAGGTAATTCTCTGTTCGTCTTTTAGGAGCATGCCTAGGGTTATTCGAAATCATGTATGTACGTGTTTGGTATCTGATATCGATCTGTGGGAAGGACCACCTCGTCGGCGTGTTCCAGCAAGACCAACCGACTCAGACCGGAGGAGCGCCACCACACGACCCATACTTACCGACGACAAAGGGAAGGCCACCAATCGTGACACCTGCAAGGACCCCGTAGATTCATAACCATAGGTGCTGGCCGAGCAGTCAGAGATGACCACTGGCCGGAGACTAATAGTCACCAAGGAAGGTAAGCGCCAAAAATTTGGAAGAAGGAGACGGAATGCGGCAGTCGAAATTTTGAGGGTTAGGGTTCGAGAGAGTTTTGGATGAAATCTTAACCACTACTTTTGAAACATATATTATATTACATACTGATTTGATAAATTGTTTTTTCTTTTTGGTTTCTGATAAAAATACAAAATTTGGATCGATGGGTCTTGAAGACTCCTTGATCTGGAAAACTGTAGAGGGTCACTGGGGGCCACTCAAGGCTGTGCATTGGGGGCCACTCAAGGCTGTGCATTGGGGGCCACTCAAGGCTGTGCACCCCCACCTCTGTCAAATTATTCTTTTGCTTTTTGGTATCCTTGGAGTTTGTGTTCTCATATGTATTCTCAGTAGTAACAATTGCTGCACTTCTCTTCCTCCTCCTGGCAATTATTCCAGCAGGGTTTTA